ATTTTGGTAACTACCTCAACACTGAAAAGTTTTTCAATATTATTACATCTGTTATGGTGATAGGTGATCAGTGATCTTTGATGTTACTATTGTAATTGTTTTGGGGCACATATAAGATGGTGAACTTAACTGATAAATGTGTGTGGTTTGACAAAACAGCCTTCTATTGGAAGAAGATGCCATCTACGACTTTCATAACTAGAGAGAAGTCGATGTCCAGGCTTCAGAGCTTCAAAGGACAGGCTATTTTGTTAGGGGCTAATGAAGCTGGTGACTTTAAGTTGAAGCCAATGCTCCTTTACCATTCCAAAAATACTAGGGCCCTGAAGAATTATGCTAAACATACTCTGCCTGTGCAGAACAAATGTGTAACAAAAAAGACTGGATGACAATACATCTGTTTACATCATGATTTATTGAACATTTTAAGCCCATTATTGAGACATATTGCTCAGAAAAAAAGATTCCTTTCAAAATATCACTGCTCATTGACAATGAACCTGTTCACCCAAGAGAACTGATGGAATATGTACAAGGACATGAATGTTGTTTTCATACCTGCTAACACAACATTCATTCTGTAGTCCATGGAGCAAAGAGTCATTTCAACTTCGAAGTCTTATTATTTAAGAAATACATTTCATAAGGCTACAGCTATCATAGATAGTGACTCCTCTGACGGATCTAGGCAAAATAAATTGAAAACCTTCTGGAAAGGATTCACCATTCTAGATGCCATTAAGAACATTCATGATTCATAGGAGGAGGTAAAAATATCAACATTAACAGGAGTTTTGAAGAAGTTAATTCCACCCCTCATGGATGATTTTGAGAGCTTTAAGACTTCAGTGAAGGAAGTAAATGCAGAGGTGATGGAAATAGCAAACTAGAATTAGAAGTGGAGCCTGAAGATGTGACTCAGTTGCTGTAACTTCATGATTTGAATGAATGAGGAGTAGCTTCTTACGGATGAGCAAAGAAAGTGGTTTCTTGAGATAGAATCTACTCCTGGTGAAGATATTGTGAACATTATTGTAAAGACAACAAAGGATGTATAGACTATTACATAAATTGAGTTGATAAAGCAGTGGCAGGGTTTTAGAGGATTGACTCCAGTTTTAAAAGAAGTCCTGTGGATAAAACGCTATCAAAAAACATCACATGCTACAGAGAAATCTTTTGTGAAAGGAAGCATCAATTGACGTGGCAAACCTCTTTGCTGTCTTTTTTTAAGAAATTGCCACAGCCACCTCAATCCTCAGCAATCACCACGCTCTGATCAGTCAGCAGCTGTCAAAACTGAAGCAAGATGCTCCACCAGTAAAAAGATTATAATTGCCTGAAGGTGCATATGTTCCTTAGCATTTTTTAGGAGTAAAGTATTTTTAATTAAGGTATGTACATTGTGGCCGGGCACGGTGGCTCACGCCTGTAATCCTAGCACTCTGGGAGGCCGAGGTGGGCGGATCGTTTGAGCTCAGGAGTTCGAGACCAGCCTGAGCAAAAGCAAGACCCCATCTCTACTAAAAATAGAAAGAAATTAGAT